AGATTTAAACAAACGACCAGCCGAGGAGGCTATTCATACCGCTAACAGAGTTTTTGGTTCCAGAACAGATATGCCCAAGGCAGTAGTGGTAAGTGTCGCCCTTTCCTGTAGGAATACACTTTAACTGATTGTCTTTGTTAACCGGTGGTGGGACGTCGATGTATCATAGTCGACTTGGCAATATCTTTAACTCGAATAAGTCATCTTTCGTCATTATTCCAGTTCGATGTAATCTACCATGGGATCCACAAGAAACTTCGAAAATATTTTTATTTTCTCTAGGATGTTTATAGTTATGTTGTATTTTTACAGGCTGATAAATATGCTCCATTCCTGCACGATGCAGTTTATTTATTCGCTCTTGCCTTGAACCAGTCCATGCCGTATGGTAACGCTACAGACGGAGGCGTTATTATACCCACATCAAGGGAGATAACTTTTGATGGTACGTAATCTTTTGAATGGTTTTACACCTATCGTGATAACTACTTGTTATTATACTTATCTGGATAGTTAAGTAAAGGTTCTAGAAAAATCAAGTGGCGAGGACTTTATCATTTTGTCTTATAAACAACAATTGTTGCACATAGATTACGAATGTGTAAAAGTCCAAGATTTAGCTTTGCTTTGTCCAGTTTGTCAGGGTTATTGTAATGACTTAGATCAAGTAATGAAGGGACGTAATCCATAGTCTATTGTAGGAGTTATTGTCCTTGGTGTTTACAGGTATGACTGGTAACGTTATAATCAACAAGAATGTAGATAGAGCACCCAGCTTTGTTTTGTGGGATTTATCAACACAGGGATATTTTAGGATTGTGTCCACACTGCAGTATCAGCGAGTTGGCAATTCTAACGTGCTTGTAAGTATTCAATCATCGTTTATAATGTCCGAAAAGACATATAACATAACGTTATTACCTTTATGGGTTTTGAAATTGGACAAACACTGTCTCAAAGTAGCACCCAATATAAAAAAAATATGATGAAGGTTCGACCTCGCCATACCACTCCCAAACGTCTTTTATGTGATCATATATGATATCTTTTGCTACAAGCTTGTAGTCAATGTGCTAGAGAAGTATTTTTGTATTCAATCAAACTAGCGAAGAGATCATCGGCGTGATGCATCACTTCTAATCGGAGAAATCGGCTATTTTGCAAAGCTCATGCACGTTTCTATTTTGCAAATATCATAGACGTTTCTACTTTGCAAAGCTCATAGACGTTTCTTATATTTTTTCAGAAAACGGAGACCCATCACGCAATAATCTGGGGTGATGGCTCGACAAGTAATGAGAGAATACCTCTTGATGAACCTTTTTGTGGCTTCAATGGGGAGAAATGTGCTGCCGGTATGTTTTTTATTTCATTCATTCATTCATTTATTCATTCATTCATTCCAAGGTGCATCCATCAGGGACGGTATTAACAAAGTGAGCGAGTGTTGTTGTCCGATTTTGGAATCGTTAGTTCCTCGCTGAGTGTATTCTATGTTATGGACACACTCCAGTAAATCATTTGCCTTCTGTCTCAAATGTTAAATCACGAAATTCAACTGTAACTTTTTCTAGAAATCTCGTTGAAAACTTTCTAAATAAGTCGAATGAAAGCCTGACCACTATTTAAGTCCAAAAATTTAGTCAAAAATAGGCACTCCAAATGGGAAAGAGAAAGAGGATTTCTAAAAAAAAACCGGACGTATAAATAAATTACTGCAGCGAGTCCTATATACAATAGATAAAGGGAAGTAATTCGACTTTAATAAACCTTCTATTTCTCTCCGCTTAATATATTTATGTCACATTTTCCAATATAATTATGATGAATATGAACATTTTGGTTTCGGGGAAATTGAAAGTAGACCACTACCAGATATAAACATCCGCCTGTATCATTAACAAATATTTTTACACTACACTTCCGCATTGATATGTCTTTATATTTCCCACAATCTACAAGAAATGACAATGTTAGACATTAAAATCCATATCTAGAGCAAAAATATATAAAAAAATAGATATGAAATAAAGAAAGAATGGGATGTCTATAAAATACCAGGGACTAAATTTCGGCAATGCAAAATCAATTGTGGTCTTAGCCAATTTCAATCAATAAAAGTAAGGGAGATAATCTAGTATTCGCTGATGTTCATTAAACAATGGAATATTTTAATTCTTAATAAACAACCTTGATATTGATTTACCATAGCAACTATGTAAACAATGTAATACCTTCACAAAGCATGGCAGTAGATTGTTTTCATATATCAGGAATATACCGGCAAAAACTTGCTGATTATTGTAATATTTTAAACTTGAAGTGTTTTTGTCTGTGAATTAAACTTTAGTAAGGAAAGGTAGAAGACTGCCAGGTAAGATCTAAATCACTGAGTTGCTAGGTCGTAATAGTATGTGATATGTATTCACTACACGATACAAGAAAGTATAGTAGTTAGCATTGAGAAGAATAGACCTATACTGGTATTGTTAGAATATTGTTATCTTGAATTTGAAGTGTTTTGTCTCATCATTGAATTTCAGAAGGGACTAGTTAAGGATTGAGCTTCCAGGTAAGGTTAAGACTGTGAGATGGCATGTCGTCAATATGCATTCAGCACTCGATACAAAGGAGTACAGCAATTAACACTGGGAGGAACAGGCCTATACCGGCAAAAACTTGCTGATTACTGTTATCTTGAATTTGAAGTGCTTTGTCTTGGATTTGAACTTTAGTTGGTATATCATAGTTGTATATGATATGCTTTCCATACACGACACAATAGAGGTTTTGCTAAGCATTAAGAAGAATAAACCTATACCGTCAAAAACTTGCTGATTATTGAAATATTTTGAATGTTTTGTATGGGACTTGAGTAAGGGAATTAAAAAGACATTAAGCTGCAAGGTAAGGCAGAGAGTTGGCATGCGTAGAAATAAGTAATATGCATGCAGTAGGCGATAGAAGACGTTTTTGCCTGTGTACAATGTATGGAACACATGCAGCGGCGTTTCTACGTCCCTCACCCCCCTCTCCCACTCACGCTTTCAATTTGCAGGAGCGGCAGATATTTGGCATGGTAAAACGTACCAGGAAATAATAGCCAACAGATAACAATACATATACCAACAGTCATTTGATTAGCCAATATTACATAGAACAGGAGTTGCATCACAATTCGGACGGCGGGGTGGACCGCAGAAAAATTACGAAACGAAACATTGATTTTTAGCAGTTTATTTGTATATGTTTTTCAGAAGATACTTTGACCTATATAATTGTATGACCTATATAATTGTATGACCTATATAATTGTATGTATATGGATTCTGTTTTTCAGATGATACTCTGACCTATATAATACTCGGTGTTTTTCTTCTCATCATGTTGGCTTCAATATTCGGATTCTTCATCTTCTACCGGTCAGTATTCAATGGATTTTGTTTTTATTACCACAAGGGTTCTATAGCCTAGGGTACGTCTTCGACATATTATGTAGTGATTCGGCCAACCCTTTCAAAATATGCCTGTAAAAAGAAGATTCTGGTATTAAGAGGATACAATTAAGGCCTCCAGTCGTTATTTTTTTTTTTTTTCGTTCCCCTTCTTTTTTTTCGTTTTTTTTCTTTTTCGATATACAATTGAATTCAATTTGTGGAATGTGTGAAAAACATTAAACGAAACCAAATTGAATTTAATTCTGACTATGACTTGAGTAAACGGCCAATTTTTAGCTAGCCGCTTGCATATGTATACATTTAGAGTTTAAAGGTGGATCTATGTGACCTTACATCCAAAGTACATTTCGTTCGAACAATGTTTTTATGATCTACAGATGGTGGCGAAAAGAAAAGAATCTGAGAAAAATGGAATGGAAAGTGACGTATTCAGATTTAGATTTTGAAATTTGTAAAAGAGCAAAGTCCACTCTAGTAAGTTGTTGTAAATGTTTTAACACTGTGAAATATTATACTAAGAACAATTAAAAATCGTTGTTTTTAAACTACGCCGCTAGAAAGAACCGCTGTTCACTTTACCCAAATAGCTTCATACGAGGCGGTAAATTTAATCAGTCAAAACGGCATTTTCATTAGCTAGTAAAGTTGAAGAAAAATAGGACGTTAACCTCCATTTGATTACTTCAGCCAGTCAAGGATACAACAGCAGTTCGTGCAGATCTCTTCTTTTCTCAAGTCCAATAAGTCGAAGTAAAGTTTGATATAAAGCTGCTGATAAAGGAGAGAGCAGTTGTATTTAAAACTACATTTCGTTTCATAAACAATACAGAATAGCAGAACGTATAATACACCATCTTATTTCATTTCAATTATTATAGAATGTAGATACGTCAGTGGGTCAACGCAGTATGGAATCTCTCCCTTCAGACACGGAGAGTGAGATTGGGTTTCGTCAGCGCCATCAGAACTTATTGGGTACCCAAGATTCTATAACCCTGGGTCCTATCTACTACACCATCGTGGCGAGGTATAAAGAAAATATTGTAGCTGTACAGGAAATCAGAAAACCAAGATTAAAAGTTGATCGAGCTTTATTAGAAGATATACAAGTGGTAAGTTAACAATTCTATTAAAGAGATATATCAGTCTACATATTTGTTGTTTAAGGCCTCCAGTCCTCCCCTTCGTTTCGTTTTTTCTAGTCTGTCTCATTCAGTCATAAAGACGAGCTGTACCTATACTGAAGAGGTTCCAATGTGCACATCTTGCATTCTTATGTCAGGGGATAGGGGTTGACAGAGCCGTCTCCCGGGAGCTTTGGCTGTATGACCAGTTTTTTCTGTCCTTCAGAAGAATTTGAACCCTGGCAGAAGACAATCCAACCAGCTACTGAGCTATGTAACTATTATCTATAAGGGAAGGGAAAAAGATAAAACTATTTACTATCTATTTCATTGAAATTACAAGATACTGTCACCAAGTTATAACATTGTATTTTTTTCATGTATATGCTTGTTGGTCTTCTTTCTTCAGTTACTGCGACTAAAACATAATAATATGTGTAATTTTATTGGTGTCTGTACAGAAACTAATCACGTGAATATAATCTGGGAATATTGTAATAAAGGTAGTTTACAGGTAGGGTAACTCATGATATTCAATTGTAGAAAATAATGAATTTTATAGAAATATCTATCCATGATAGGTATAGTTATTAACTTATTGTGTGAAAACGGTCTGTTCTCTGTCAATATCCTTAATATAAAGATTTATACACACACACACACACACACACAAATTTTTATCAATTTACATTGTGAAAGAATAGCCTGTGGCCCCCTTAGAAAATTTGTAGCCCCTGCTTGGGCATCTCAACTAATATTTCCTAGAAAAGCCACTATTTAAAGGGAGCTGTCTGCAATTATATGACTTTTTTCCGAGTTTTAATACTTGTTGAAATTTCTGGACTATCGTTTTTAAATTGTATTGCAGGATGTGTTAGAGAACAGTGACATGAAATTGGATCCGATCTTCCAGTACTCTATAGCAGTAGATATATGCTCGGTATGTAGTCGTAGTTATCCAACAAGACGATATTTCATATTGTTTTTCACGTCAATTTAGAAATCTGGCACTAAAGTTATTTCCCTTTAGGTTGTAAACTTTCTTCGGTCTGTATTTCGTTTTACCTGTTATTTCTGATTTTCAAACTGTGAAAACAACGTTCGAAATAAAAGCATTTATATTTTTATTGTTTTCTCAGGGTTTAGATTTCCTACACAGTTCCCCTATAAAACTTCATGGTAATTTAAAAAGTAGTAAATGTTTGATAGACAGTCGATGGATCTGTAAAATAACAGATTATGGTATTTCCAGATTAAAATTCGGTCAATCTTCAGATCGAAATAAAACAGATAACCAAAAATTTGAATGTAAGCTAGTTTCTATCATATTGAACCAAGTCTCTCTTCGTCTACGCACAGCTGCGACGAAAGATGTGTAGATTGAATAGAAGAAGTCTTGGTGTCTGAGACCAGATCGCATTGCACAAACGGAAAGGGTAAATTCGTCTCTGACCTTCCCTCGTGCGATAAGAAGTCAAAATTATATCCTTTATCGCCTTTACATGGGGTGAGAGTTTCAGGAGAATATACGAAAAGTGGTGTTACATGGTGATGAGAACGTAGTCTCATAAAAGCAGTGGCCTAGGCCAGAAAGTAGTGTACGCGCCCTCCTGTTTTAATGAGCAATAACTGCCGTTTCGCCACATCATCAGCCATCATTTGGCTCCTTTCTTGTATCACCGAAGTTAGCCGAAGATTTGTTTGGATTGTACGATACTGAATACAATCAATCAGGGCCTTCCACTGCAAGAAAAAGTGGCCCTGCTTGTTATCGTTACCTGTGAAAACTATATTTAACCAAAATGTGATGTTTTCAGCTTTATTCTGGACGGCCCCAGAGTTGTTACGCTTGAGGTTAGAGGGCAACAGAAGGTCAAGGACACAGGAAGGTGATATCTACGCCCTTGGGGTTATTTTAAAAGAAATTGTGTGCAGAAACTCGCCCTATGCCGAAGAAAGAGATGCTGCAGCCAAAGGTAGGATAGATTTAAATGAAACGAATGGAGTTTAACGTTCTACTTTTCTGCACCATGGGGGCTAATGAAGATGCCATGCAGGGTGCAATGAGAGAAATTCTGCCAGGACAGCAGCATTAGCCTACGTTTTTTTCGATTTCCAACTGCTGAGGGATCTTTAACGGGCACAGCCTGTAGCACACGGGGCATCGGTTTATTGTCCCATCTGAACTAACTAGACGCTTTTCCATGTCAGCCCCTCTTACCTTCTTCACTGCCAAGGGAAACTGGGTTGAAAAATCCGAAGGTATTATCTCGACCTATACCGGGATTGATGGATGGATGGCAATGTATTTTCACATATGGTATATGAAGTAGCTACGATTACTCATGTCCAACATATCAACGTATTTCAGATATTGTATACACAAAACCTACGATTAATCCAGTTATGACTGTCAATCTATTTTCAGATATTGTATATGAAGTAGCTAAGAAAGATGAATCCAATCCTAAACGTCCATTAATCGATTTTCATCTGCAGCAACCACATCATGTGAAATCTCATCTGGTTTCTCTCATTAAATCCTGCTGGTCGGAACAGCCGGAACAACGTCCTACAGCAAAACGTGTTTTAAAAACCTTAACTAGGCTCAATCCATACAGGTATTCCAACAAAAGATTGAATTAAGAAGTCCTCGGGTATAAACAAGACATTCACGATCAAGGAATCGTCCAGTTAAACAGTGGCGGAGCCAGGTTTACGTCTGAGGGGGGCGAAATATCTGAGGTTTTCCGAAGTTCTAACCTAGTTATGAGATTTTTGCCCGAAAAAAATGCCTTCGGGGCTGCGGGGGGGGGGGGGGATGTTTGACTGCTCTGTCACCCTTTGGCTCCGCCACCGAAGAGAAGACCATCCTGTTTTGGGTCACTGGTTCTCAAAACAGAATCTGAATTGTCGAATTTGAATCAAGAATAGATCACACGTTGAATATACTGATGTTGGAGATTAAGGAATGATATAATGCTTAGAAATCATCTGAACAGTCATCTTGGAAAAATGGAATGGAAAAGTAAATCCCAAGTTGCTTCAACAGTAAATGCCTAACGACTACCGACTTACTGTTTATTTTGACCAGAAAGGCATCGAATTGTAAACTGGAGATTGTTGAATTTTTGAAAGGAATTTTCTTGCATGTAAGGATTTTGATTTTTCTCGATTTCGTTTTTCAGGAAAACTAACGTAATGGATAATATGTTGGCGATGATGGAGAAGTATTCTAACAATCTAGAAGAATTGGTCACAGAGAGAACTCTGCAGCTCGAGGCTGAGAAGAAGAAAACTGATGTTCTGCTTTATAAAATGTTACCAAAGTTAGTATCGTTCTTTAATCGCTTTGTAGATGGGGAGTATGGGGGTTCCTAAGACGCAGTTTTGTGGTTGTGGGTCCAACGCCGTATCGTAATGCCGGAAATATACTTCACTTTTACAAGTTTCTTTTTATTATTTATATCAAGTCCAACAAATTCCCCTTTGGAGATCATATATTGCACTATAGCATTGGTGTCCTCTAGTGTGCATACATCCGGGCACATCGGCGTTGAATATTTAAATCTTTCTAAGAAACATTTTCCCAACAAAATTGAGATCGGTATTTACGGGTAACACAGAACGATTGCACTTTACTTCCAAATATGGGCTTGCAATTAGAATTTAAATTCACAAAACCCTCATGAAGGCAGTTGGTTTGGAATGGAAACATAGATTAGATTGATGAATCCTCGAATCCCTCTATTAAAAACAAAGTTGTTATGTTATTATTTCATCTCCAGTTAAAACAGTGAAGACATGTATGACCTGAAACCCAAAGTAGAAATTGTTTGTATATGGCTCATCGAAGCCTTTGCCATTTACAACTTCTTGACTTACTTTGATTCAGACATTTTCATGAGCTAAATTAGGTGCAGAGAGTAAGATGTAAAACTCACTTCATTACATTCCATATTTGTTTCAGACCTGTAGCCGACGATTTAAAATGTGGCAATGTAGTTCAAGCGGAAGCATTTGAATCTGTGACAATTTACTTCTCTGATATTGTTGGTTTTACATCAATTGCTGCTGAAAGTAGTCCCTTGGAGGTAGGAATACATTCAGTATATTTGTCATCGAGATGGTTTCATAATTAATATTATTGTTTATCCTGTTGTGGGATTACAACATGAAGTAACATAACAACATGTATTTACATGAAGACAATTTTATTCATGATAGAGTAACTATCGATTCCGATTTCCAGAAAATCATCTCAAATAACGAAAAAGTGTAGAGACTAACATAGTGAACCAGGGCGTTGTGAATCGTGAAGATAAGATTAATGCAGCCACTCTGACAAAATTTCTCTTTACACTCTTTATGGCGTGGTCTGTCCACTTCTGTCCTTATCGAGCACCTCGTTTCATTCATGCTTTATTTTTCTTTAGGGCTTGTATTTGAAAGGACACATCATTTTATGTTCCAGATTGTTGATTTGTTAAATAATCTGTACCATCTATTTGATGCGACCATTCAGCTTTTTGACGTCTATAAGGTAGAAACTATCGGTGATGCCTATATGGTGGCTAGTGGACTACCTCAGAGGAACGGCGACAAACATGTAACTGAAATGTGTGATATGGCCCTTAATCTCCTGAAGGTTGTGATCTCTTTTAGAATTCCTCATAAGCCTGAAACTCAGCTCAAAATACGCATTGGTAAGTATTGATCATTAAGGAATGGATTGGTTAGGTTGATTTGAACAAAGCTAGCGTCCCATTATATGCTCTAGGGAAGTTGATCGTAATTCAGTATAAAATATATCCTGGAAACGTGTAATGTCTGCAAATGATAAAATTGAAACCGAGATCTTGTTTATAACATGCACTATAGTTTTACAGTACAGTGTTGTTTTTTGTTGTTATTTTTTGCATTTCTAACCCACTTTGAATTGTTGTGTGTCTGCGCACAGATTGGTTTTGTGGAGAAGGTTGTTTTTCTAGCCTACCTTGATTTCTTTAAGGTTTGCAAATAGGGTATGTCATGGCAGATGTTTTTTTTTGTTGTTTTTTGTTTGTATTTCGTATCCACCTTGTTATATTGTAGGTCTGCATACAGGACCGGTCGTGGCTGGTGTTGTAGGATCTACAATGCCTAGATATTGTTTATTTGGTGATACCGTCAATACAGCATCCAGAATGGAATCTTCCGGCCAAGGTAATGTTGGAACAGTTATAATTTTAATAGATGCAAGCAGTGAGTAAGACGCTAGGTCGCTTTCCTATCACGATCTCCGCATAGGCCGAGAAGATACCTTTTGATTTCTCAACCCCGTTACTGCATGTCAAGGGGACTGACATTGAAAAAAGACTTGCAGTTACAATAACCCGAGGCCTTGTGCGTTAAATGCTATGCAAGTTAAAGATCAGTTGCTAGTTTTCCATATTTGCACAAAGCCCCTGATGGCCAATCAGGAAGTGATTCTACTTACTTTCACTTGAGACGTCCTGTCAATGATTGATTATTAAGTTATCGAACTTGTTACTATTTTTAGCATTACGTGTCCATATCAGTTCACCAGTGGCAGAGAAAATCCGCCATGACAGTTGTTATTTTACTAAACCACGTGGTGAGGTCGACGTTAAGGTAGGTGACTAAATCTTGCCAGGACACATATAATACTCTGGACAGGACCGTACGAAATTTTTCTTGGACTGGTATTAAATGGTGGCTATTACTTACCTGGGCTTTATCCAGATAGTCACCTTGTCACGATATTCTGATAGTCAAAACATCAGTACTCTGATTAGTACTACTTACATTATTATGTATGAAAGAAAATCGAAATTATAATAAAATGCATACTTGACTAACTGATACAAGAATAAAAGTTATGTTCCATTCTCATTCGAGCAAAATTCAACTTTACGCAAACTGCCGAGAGCTACCAAATGCAACAATTCAAAATTTTAAATCGGATCTTCCTGGTTAACATTTCAGGGAAAGGGTAAGATGAAGACGTTTTGGTTAACAGGTAAAGTTGGGATATATCAAGAAGTGGATACTTTAGAATTCCCTGTTAAATCTCCAGTTCCAGAGCAGACTCAACCAGTCTGTAGTCCCACAGAGACCAAAGAAACCGATTCCACTTCGACTGTCACGACGTGTCTTTAAATAGTGTGCTTGTGAATATTGAAACCATTGAATTTGTGAGTACAAAGACAAGATTCCTACAATGACATCCATGATGCAGTGGCGGAGCCAAAGGAGGGCAGAGCGGGAAAGTTGAACTCGATTCTTTGCCTGCTGTGAAAGTTGTGCATCGCAAGAGATAAGACTTCTATAATGAGTACAGTAATAGTGCTATGGACGGAATTTGGTTTCACTTCGTCTGGAAATGTCTGGAAGTTTTTGTATATTTTGAAGCCCATTAATCCTTGGTGGTAAAAATTTGGTTGTATTTTTTTTTACGAGGATGTTTGTTGTTGATGATATAACTGTAGTCCAGCAAAGATATCTGCTCATATGGGTCCTATTTTATCATTGACGATACAAAATATTCCTGTCTTAGACTGGAGCTGTATGTACATGGAGAGGGACTGGATGCTAGAGGCTAGATCCGATTCAAAACATAAATACGAGCAGTTAACCTTATATTAGGTAGTTAAAGGAATTGTAAAGGGGATTTCTCTAAAACTAAATTTTTCACCTCTGCAAAATTTGCTTCTATCCCATAAGACCTTTGCGGGGTGACGTCATAATATTATTATTCTTGTTTTTTGTTTTGATTTGGATCAGGATGGGCACCAATATCTCTGCTCGACTTTTACCTGTTTTATTGTTGTTATTATTTTGTTGTGAGGTAAAAATTTTTGTGATATTAAAAGAAATATTAATTGTTTTTTTTATTCAATTTTGTTCTTTCGCCTTTCCGTGACACACAGTTCATTGGCATCAATTGATAACAGTTAATTAGTTAAACAGAAACATATCCGACCACATGCTTACTATCAGGTCCGCGTTAAAAATGGATATCCCAGAATCAAGATTGATGACGTACGTACTTTTCATAGGAACATCATCTGTGTTGTAGCTATGGTGGTCGGTGCTGACAGGGTGAGTTTTAAATCCCAACCGCCCAACCTCTAATAACGCTGGATTTAAAACCAACCCATGCTGACATGGCACGAAAATTTAGTTAGAAAACGAAATTAAAATCAGAAATACACAGCGTCGTTAGAACCTAATGGCTGAAGCTAGAAGAAATTGAGTACCGGTTCAAAATTTCCTGGGGGTTGTAGGGGAAGAAGGTTTCTGAATAACCATAGCTACTATAGAGAATATTTCTGAGGATAAATTAACATTCCAAAGAAATAAAAACTGTAAATGCGGTATAGATTTATATTTATTCCACAGTCACGGTGTCCACTAATCTTCTTTTAAAACTGCCTCATGTTAATATTGATATTGTACTCAGTTGCGTCGTCAGTGGGGGTGGGTGTTGGTCATTTGAATCCCCAATGGTACCCCCACTTTATTTTTTTAACATATTCAAAAATATTATTTGTTTACGTTTTTGAAATATACAAAATCCGTCAAAATGCACCTAATCAATTCAATTTTTCGAAAATTTTCATGGAAGAACCTTCTCAAACGCTCGGAAGGTTGGTTCCACCATGGTTGTAACCAGTAAAATTACTTAATTTGAACTATCAATATTTCAATCGTTTGTTTTATATTTTTAAAATTTAACTTCAATGAGTAGTCGCACCTTTTAGGTCCAGCTTTAATTACGAGTCCAATAATTCCGCCATTGCGTGTAAATAATATATTGATATCCTGGGTGTTTCCACTTAGTTGATTATTAGAACCTGGACATCAAAGAATCACTACTGCACTTTAACATTAACTTCATTTTATAACACTAATGTAATAACTTCACAAGCTATTAATCCCATGTTCCCAAGTGACAATTCGTGGCATACCAATGTAGATGCATCACTCCATTCGGCAATTCCGTAAGCTGAATCTGTCTCGGTAATGAATGGTGAATTCCGTTGTATCTTCTTGTGCGAGACTCTTTACATCCGGTATTTAGCAGTGATTTATCAAGTGATAGTAACATTGCGACCTAAATATAGTCCTTAAATTTAAAGACTTTGGGAGATAATTCTGACACTTATATATTTAATGCTATGTCGTGACTATTGGTTATCCAATGATACATTTTATGATTAGTTTGAATACATATCTTACGGATGTTTTGTTTTCATTGACATTGTTACAAACACTTGAAGTCATGAACGACCAGCCTCTTATATTTGAATTACCAGAATCATGTGATCACGTGACCATATTGACATAGTTTCGGTAAAAAAAAATGGCCATTCATTACCGTGATATGTTGCAGGGCGCTAGCGTAACTTTCTCGGAGGCCTTTTGGCATCACTCATTATCAAACTATGTAATATAAGGATATAGAGGACTAATACGATTAATCAGTTTACTGTATGTCAGCAACCATTCGAAGTATGATGTCAAAATCATCAATAATCAATCAAAAGCCAATTTTTAATGATTCTATGTCAACATATAGCTGATTTTATTCTTCAAAACATTAAATTTTGGTAACATTGAGGTAACTGACATTTTGAGTTCTATAAGAGAACAATTAGTGGTATAATATATATATATATTATTCAGCTAGATTAAAGTAACAGTTAGTACTATTATCATTTAACATTATTTGTAGCGAATGCTTTGATGAAAAGCGTTGATTTTAGTTACCACTATTGATAAGGATTTTGGAAACAATTCAGATATAAAAATTCAATAAAAATTTAAAGGGACAATTGCGCAATTGTTTTGACCAATCGAACCTTAGTATTAGATACGAGAATTATTTAGTCGAAATTTGAGCCTTCAAATCCATGAGCGTCTAGAATTACCCGCGTTTTAATGTTAAAATGACGACTCTATATATAGAAAAGACATATTTAGAAACACTGAGTACAATTCCTGGTTTGAAGTATTTTTAAAGGAATTGTGCGATTTTCTTACATTTCTAGTACTTTTGAAGATCATTTAGATATATTCAACACTAAAATCAACGCAATCAAATTGGCGCGTCTTTCCCTTTAAAAGGATTTTACAGGACATAGAACATGTAATATAAAGTAACTTCCAATGGGAGGTGATGATGGTTCGTGCACAATGACATATAATCGATATTAAATTGTTCGTACAACGCATATGCAACGTTATCGTATCCCAAATATGGATTTTGATATTGTCTATATGACGAGTGGGGTTGCGGTTTGGGCAGACTGCTGTAACGAGTCAATGTTTCTTATTTCATTATTTTTTTAAAACTTAAGGTAGGATATGTGTAGTGTAACCTTCTGATGTCACACCCAGATTTATAAGAAATATATTTTGGATTGGAGAATAGAATTTGTATAGCATCATTATTAAAAATAATTGATTTATAAAATTGTATATCGGACTTATAGTAATACAGCTTTGTGTTGAATAAACATAAGTAATTCTTTGTTAGATTCGTTATAAAAACAAAGTCTCATTATATCTCTACTATTATGTTGTTTAAATGTCCATACTCAGGGGAGTTAACCCATTAAAAAAACAAAGTCTGTGAATCATCAATGCAAGTCAATTTGTATAGATGCATACGTAATGGGATTGTTTACGGTGTATGCTTCGATAGATATCAACAATACCGTATACAAATGATGTGATATATAACGGATTCATCAGACCATTCCCAAATGATTGAAATAGAGCGATGTGTCTGAAGAAAACAGGTAATAAAATACATTAAAGGGATTGTTAAAAGTATTTCTATGTGTATCGGGGACACTGATAGCATCAACTTGACCCATTCCAATTTTCAATCAAACGTCTGTGCTTGCTATAATTCCACTACAGTGTTTTATGACGTCACTAATCATAAAATATGCTTTACCACATAAGGCCCTTCGCGGTTAATGATTTCATCAAACAATTAGTTCTGGTGGAATTGCAGGAGGCACAGATATCTGATTGAAAATTGTAAAGGTGCAAATGCTCTCAATGTCCCCGATACACTTTAAACATTTAGAAAACATCTTTAAAATCTCTTCAAAAATCTCAAAACCTCAAAGTAATAATAAGAATTGCTAATATCCTCTTTTACAGTTTGCACAGGAGGATATCTACGAGGTACGCGACGTCCCAGCATGAATTAAAGTTAGTGGCGCTTAACTTTTTGTTCTATGTATATGTATTTTCCCGTGAAGGGTTATTTGTAACAAGATCGTTTTATAATTGAATCTCATGTAGTCCATACAGAAACTAATAAATCATCAGTTACTATGATATAAGTCTGCTAGTTGAGGAATATACAGTATACGGTACAAGACAGTTAATAATTCTACAGATTGTAACCGCCCAAGGTTTAATCCTGGCATAGGTGGAGATAAACCGTCGACATTTTCAACCTTTTCTTCGTTAGTGATTTAGAGGGTGGAGAGGAGAGGATGACATGGAAAAAAGTCTCGTCGTTCGGATTGGGCAATATGAATAAACTGTTGCCCCGTTTACTACAGGCTGTACAGTGTACACGTTAAAGATTCATTGACAGTCTGAAGTCGACAAAGTATGCAAAAGCCGCTGTCCTGGCAAAATGTCCCTTATTGCACATAGCCTGTTTCATAACCCAATATACAGAATACAGAAGAGTAAGAAGTAAAACTCTATTTATTTATTTGATTTCATTTACATTGTAAAGATAGTCCAAAAGTGAAATGATCTTAAACACTTTATTCTTTTGCTGTTGTTTGTTGCTGGACTCTCTATATATCAAAATCACAGTAACCGAAATAGTCGGACAAAAAACCAAGCCGTCAGGCTGATCCACATGATGAAAAATATCAAAAACAACAATACGTCAATAGTGAAGCCACATTTACGTCGTTCCGAGTTTCTACATCGTAGAATTCCCCACAGTTTGTCCAATTTTCCACCATGTTTCTTATTTTCTTTCATCGAGACATTATGGTTGTTTTCGGTTGATTGTGGTATATCTTGATGTTTATGGTGACGATTGATTAATATAAGAGACACCAGAACAGTTAAACAACTCAGAGTCAATAAGAAACTTATGAACAGTGTGATCAGAATTGGCTCATTTGAATTTTGAGGCAGATAGCTGCTCACACTTGTTAGATAGAAAGTTAACGCTAGAAGTACGGTGATGGAGAAAGAAGCCTTTTCTCCGGAGCCGTCCGGCAACCAGAAGGTTAACAAGTTGAGAAACGATATAATGATGATCGGAACTAAAAAGTTTTGCAAAAAGAATAAAGGGAGGCGTTTAAACTCCATTGTCATGTATAACACGGACATATTGAACTCATCCAATTTGTAATCCCAATTGATGTAAAAACTGTTCCCAAATACCCATTCGCCATGTGGTTTAAGATCAGATGTGTTAACGGATTGCTCAACGTTCACCAATTTCACTTCCTCAGTACTATACAGTAACGGCGTAAATGCCAATGCACAGCGTTGAGTGTCAAGAGGGAAAAGCACTACATCCATTAAACAAGTCACAGATATCTTTTTAGACAGAGTCCATGTCATTTGTCCATTCTGACGAGCAGTTAATCTGTATCGTACATCCCCAAATAAGTCAGCATCGTCAAGATTACTGTGTAGATTAATCCGCGGAGTCCAAATCTTTTCTTGGTCCATCTGAATGTAGGATAGACCTTCAAACTTGTCCGAATTCCAACCTAAAAACTCGTCTTTCCATCGTAAAGTAAATATCATAATCACAGATAAAATTTGATGCACCTCGTCCAAGTCGACAATATCAGTAAGTTGTATATTACATTTGACAATCACCGGATCACTTTGATTTCGAATTGGGCGAATATCTTTAGAATAATTACCCAGTAAATGTTCTTTTAAAGATTTCGTCGTTTCCCATGACACACAGTTTACTGACATCAATCCATAACAGCTAAATAGTAACACAAACGTTGCTGACCACATGCTAACTTTTAGGTCCGCGTTCAAAATTAATATAACAAACCCTAGAATATTACCAATATTATTTCGTACGTTCAGAACAGAAAAAAATCCTTTTTATTGATAAAATGGCTTGGTACGTGTTCACTATCATGTCCGCATTTAAAATTAAATTCACAAATCAAGGAATATTAACAAGTTGTAGTTTTATCAGAACGAATTAAATATTTCTTTACAATCCTTTTTAATCGATGACATGCCTCAAGACGTGTTCTCTATCAGGTCCGCATTCCAAATTAATATCCTTAAATCAATGAAAATAAGTAACAAGTAGTTTGGAACGTGTTCACCATCAGGTCCGCGCTAGATAGAAAATCCTTCCCAGCCTTCACTAAAGATACTGTCGCACGCTTCTAGCGGTACTCATTTTAATAAGCCAAACTTGATAATCCAAGTTATTGGAGATCCAATCAATATATATTGTGTAACTAAGAATAATAGTTTCACATTCACATTAATCACTTTTACAAATAATTATCTATCTACTAATAAGTTGTCACAACTTCGGGTGTTCAATTCAATTCACTTCAAGCGGTATAGCAAATGACCTTTTTCAATCCAACATTTCCTCAGATCAGAAAAAAATAAAATTTATTACGACGATCAGGGAATCAAATCTAATTGTATATTTTTCGTGATAATTTTCTGCCGAATTTAAAAATAAACGGGAACTTAAACCGGTCTTTATATTGTAAGTAACTTACAGAATTGGCAAGATCGATCTGAAGTCTGCAACTAGAACATTTTGAATTGCTATCGACGTTTTACGAAATGGGAATAAAAATTTAACTTGATTTACTAAAACTGGAATTTGGTGTGTTAAATTGCTAATCAAAATGTTCTATCTTAATTCTTAAATAATGAAAGCTAAGAATGGTATATAATGAGAGCTAGATATAGTAAATAATGAGAGCTAGGTATGGTCAATAATGAGAGATAGGTATGGTCAATAATGAGAGCTAGGTATGATAAATAATGAGAGCTAGGTATAATAAATAATGAGAGCTAGGTATGATAAATAATGAGAGCTAGGTATGATAAATAATGAGAGCTAGTTATGATAAATAATGAGAGCTAGGTATGGTAAATAATGAGAGCTAGGTATGATAAATAATGAGAGCTAGGTAAGGTAAATAATGAGAGCTAGGTATGATAAATAATGAGAGCTCGGTATGATAGATAATGAGAGCTAGGTATGATAAATAATGAGAGCTGGGTATGATAAATAATGAGAGCTAGGTATGATAAATAATGAGAGCTAGTTATGGTAAATAATGAGAGCTAGGTATGGTAAATAATGAGAGCTAGGTATGATAAATAGTGAGAGCTAGGTAAGGTAACTAATGAGAGCTAGGTATGATAAATAATGAGAGCTCGGTATGATAGATAATGAGAGCTAGGAATGGTAAATAATGAGAGCTGGGTATGGTAAATAATGAGAGCTAGGTATGATAAATAATGAGAGCTAGGTATGATAAATAATGAGAGCTGGGTGTGGTAAATAATGAGAGCTGGGTATGGTAAATAATGAGAGCTACGTATAGTAAACAATGAGAGCTGGGTGTGGTAAATAAAGAGAGCTAGGTATGGTAAATAATGAGAGCTAGGTATGATAAATAATGAGAGCTAGGAATGGTAAATAATGAGACCTAGATATGATAAATGATGAGAGCTGGGTATGGTAAATAATGAGAGCTAGATAATGGTAAATAATGAGAGCTATGTATGATAAATAATGAGAGCTAGGTATGATAAATAATGAGAGTTGGGTATGATAAATAATGAGAGCTGGGTATGATAAATAATGAGAGCTAGGTATGATAAATAATGAGAGCTAGGTATGATAAATAATGAGAGCTAGGTATGATAAATAATGAGAGCTGGGTGTGGTAAATAATGAGAGCTGGGTATGGTAAATAATGAGAGCTACGTATAGTAAACAATGAGAGCTGGGTGTGGTAAATAAAGAGAGCTGGGTATGGTAAATAATGAGAGCTAGGTATGATAAATAATGAGAGCTAGGAATGGTAAATAATGAGACCTAGATATGATAAATGATGAGAGCTGGGTATGGTAAATAATGAGAGCTAGATAATGGTAAATAATGAGAGCTATGTATGATAAATAATGAGAGTTAGGTATGATAAATAATGAGAGCTGGGTATGATAAATAATGAGAGCTAGGTATGATAAATAATGAGAGCTAGGTATGATAAATAATGAGAGCTAGGTATGATAAATAATGAGAGCTGGGTGTGGTAAATAATGAGAGCTGGGTATGGTAAATAATGAGAGCTACGTATAGTAAACAATGAGAGCTGGGTGTGGTAAATAAAGAGAGCTAGGTATGGTAAATAATGAGAGCTAGGTATGATAAATAATGAGAGCTAGGAATGGTAAATAATGAGACCTAGATATGGTAAATGATGAGAGCTAGGTATGGTAAATAATGAGAGCTAGATAATGGTAAATAATGAGAGCTAGGAATGATAAATAATAAGAGCCAGGTATGATAATTAATTAGAGCTAGGTATGATAAATAATGAGAGCTAGGAATGGTAAATAATGAGAGCTAGATATGGTAAATAATGAGAGCTAGATATGGTAAATAATGAGAGCTAGGAATGATAAATAGTGAGAGCTAGGTATGGTAAATAATGAAAGCTTGATACGGTAAATAATGAGAGCTACGTATAGTAAATAATGAGAGCTAAGGTATGGTAAATAATGAAAGCTAGGTATGGTAAATAATGACAGCTAGGAATGGTAAATAATGAGGGCTAGATATGGTAAATAATGAGAGCTAGATATGGTAAATAATGAGAGCTAGGTATGGTAAATAATGAGAGCTACGTATAGTAAATAATGAGAGCTAAGGTATGGTAAATAATGAAAGCTAGGTATGGTAAATAATGAGAGCTAGGAATGATAAATAATGAGAGCTAGGAATGGTAAATAATGAGAGCTAGGTATGGTAAATAATGAGAGCTGGGTATGGTAAATAATGAGAGCTACGTATAGTAAATAATGAGAGCTAAGGTATGGTAAATAATGAAAGCTAGGTATGGTAAATAATGAGAGCTAGGAATGGTAAATAATGAGAGCTAGGAATGGTAAATAATGAGAGCTAGGTATGGTAAATAATGAGAGCTAGGTATGGTAAATAATGAGAGCTAGGTATGGTTAATAATGAGGGCTAGATATGGTACATAATGAGAGCTAGGTATAGTAAATAATGAGAGCTAGGAATGGTAAATGATGAGAGCTAGGTATGGTAAATAATGAGAGCTAGATATGGTAAATAATGAGAGCTAGGTATGGTAAATAATGAGAGCTAGGTATGGTAAATAATGAGAGCTAGGTATGGTCAATAATGAGAGCTAGGTATGGTAAATAATGAGAGCAGGGTATGGTAAATAATGAGCTAGATATGGTAAATAATGAGAGCTGGGTATGGTAAATAATGAGAGCTAGATAATGGTAAATAATGAGAGCTAGGAATGATGAATAATGAGAGCTAGGTATGATAAATAATGAGAGCTAGGTATGATAAATAATGAGAGCTAGGAATGGTAAATAATTAGAGCTAGATATGGTAAATAATGAGAGCTAGATATGGTAAATAATGAGAGCTAGGAATGATAAATAATGAGAGCTAGGTATGATAAATAATGAGAGCTAAGGTATGGTAAATAATGAAAGCTAGGTATGGTAAATAATGAGAGCTAGAATGGTAAATCATGAGAGCTACGTATAGTAAATAATGAGACCTAAGTTATGGTAGATAATGAAAGCTAGGTATGGTTAATAATGAAAGCTAGGTATGGTAAATAATGAGAGCTAGGTATGGTAAATAATGAGAGCTAGGTATGGTAAATAATGAGGGCTAGATATGGTAAATAATGAGAGCTGGGTATGGTAAATAATGAGAGCTAGGTATGGTCAATAATAATGAGATCTAGGTATATA